AGAGGCTCAACAGCAGCACTGTTTAAAACATTTGGGGGGGAGGCACTGCTACTTTGGTGGCGTGGGCCACAGCAATATATTCCTCGTCACTACAATTAATATTATATCTCTTGTAAACATGCCTAGCTCTGCACGACTCGTTTTCGATAGGAGCTGCTGCGCTTCGCTCATCCACTCTTAAAATTGCGGCTCGAGAGACTTTGGGCTTTCACTTGTTCTTGTGCCACACAATTTGTAGAGTTTGTAGTGAAAGCGAGATAATGGGCCCTCGTAGGCCGTGGCGGGCAGCCGATGTACGCAATGGCTGGTATACGTGTCGCACATCTTGATTTTCTGGTCTTGTATCGAGTGAACAAATGAGGCCTTCGTGATCTGATGAGCTCGTTAAAGTATGACAGCAAAAAACCACAATGCTTTCCTTTCAACATTGTACACAGCAACAGATGACGAACCCCCAACAAACCGCGCTGCAGCACGCAAACTGCCGTAGGTACCCAGGGAGGTACCCGGGCATGGCGGGAGAGGGCGACAACGGCGGAAGTGATATCACATGAACACTATGTATATTTAGGCACCCGTATTTTTGACCCACATAACTGTGTTCACAGAACCAAGGTATGCTGTAATTGATGCCTAGTCAACAAAGTTTTGCGGTGCATAGCTTGGCTATGGTTCAAAGGTCTTTCATCAACACTAGTTCAAACACACAACTGAGATTGCTTATTCAGTGCATTAATCAAACAGGAAATTTTCTCAACACATGGTTACAGGAAAATTCGCAAAAAGTAAAATACATGGGTAGAGACATTTCTTTGGGTTCTCATAATTAGAAGTACGATTGCCAGTGCCTGTTTGAGGAAACACAAGTTCTTAAGACTCATCCTCATGATGGCAGCCAGAACCTTCAATACTTTTGACTGCAAAGAACTGGCTCACCTGGATTTATTGGCATTTTCTATGTCACCGCTTTTCGTGTTTTTATTTTTTTTGTGTGTGTGGTATCTGCGATTTTATGCTCCACTCTCTTTTTTTTAGCATAAACATGTTTTAATTTCGGGTGTAGGCAACACATTTGGGAGTTGTGATAATTTTTAATTGGATGTCGGCGCTAATCCTCGTCTCACTTGTGTGGCTGTGTTTAGCGCTGAGCAGTTTGAAGTATAGAATGCAAACTAGACCGCAGCCACATGTAGCTCAATGCGCAGAAACCGTCGGGTGCTAAGCGCAAGCTCAAAGTCGAATGTTTTTTCGCCAAGAACTATCGCTCGTGCAGCCATGGAAACGAATAGCGAGGCGTGGGCATGCGGTTGTCACATGGGAAATTTTTATTGAAAGTGAATTTCTGGACCGTGATTGACTCATCTCCGCATTTAACGCAATCAAGAAACTTGATCTCGATAGCCATCGAAATCACATCGTGTGATGCCCGTACTTTGGTATCGGAGATGGTTGGCAGCTTTTCCGCTGAACGACGTAGTGGTTAAAGTACCGCACATTTAACAGCTCAGCTGATACGAGTTCGATGCTACTACGCCTCTAAAATGAAATATTTGACGAACAATCGCAAAAACTAGAGCAGGTTGCCGAATGGCCGCGCAAACCGCAAAACTACAAGCGCGCCCAGCAAAACTGGCAACACGTGCGGATTACCACAACGTCACCACCGCGCACACAACAGAAATAAATATCGCGGATGTCAAGGAGCACTGAAACAGGTTGACGAGTCCTAGACATCGTGGTCTACACGCAAGCTCAGGCGAACCACAAAATTCAGCGGTTCCAAACGCGTACACAATTTAACTATTCACGTTCACAAAGCACATTGCAACGACAAGTGTGCGCAAACCACGTGAACACCGAACCGACCACAAACAAGCAAAAAATACGCCTGATGTGCCTTCGTCCAAAGAAAAGCTTACAAAAGTTGCCTGAACTGGCGTTGTAAACTTTGACGAAAAACGAAAAGCCGCAATGTTCCACAGATCCAAGCCAGCTAGGGTGAAAACAGCGTTTTCGTTATTTTGACCAGATTATTCTCACATTGAACCTAATAAGATGGAGATCTCATAAGCTGTCTTGGCCGGCTGCGTAGTAGCCTGGGGTGATCTAAGTAGCAGAAACACCACGTTTTAGATGCCACCCCTAATTTATTATCCTAAACACCACAACTAAAGTTAAGCTTCTAACAGCTCTCTTTGTGTGAGGAAAATAAACTTCGAATCTTGATGCACGCAAGCAGCAAGCTTAGAGAAGAAGAAATACATCGTGATTTGTCTAGGGAACCCTATTTTTCGCTTCTTAGAACGCATTGCTATAACACGTACAACTCGCCCCGTAAAATAACCAAAATAGCAATGCACCATTACTGCATAAAGCTCTATGCAATGTACCATTATTGCCCATTCAACGATTTTTTATACTGCCTCCGAGACCAAGTGTTTTGTTTTATGACGTCATGACTGCCAATATGAAAATTTTGTTAAACATTGTTGCATATCTAATTCAATACGTAGAACAATAAATTGTTACAGCAATTATAAATATTGTAGAATGTGTATGTGAGCGTTACTTATACTTTTAGGTATTCAAGAAATAAGCTTGAACGAAAGCAATTCAATCCAAAGCTGTAGTGTTCACAGACCACACCGTTAGGGTGGCGAGGTGTGAAAAGCGGCCGCAGAAACCGGTCCCCAAGGCGCGCCGATGCCGCTTGGGGCGCTGCACGCACCGGCGCGGGTAGCCTTTCGCAGGCGATGTACGAATGAGCGCGCGCTGCTCGCCGCAGCGCGCTGCTCGCCGCAGAAAAACGAAGCAGTTTTAGCTGCCTATAGGCAGCTAAAACTCATCTGAGTTAATGTATACATTAACTCAGATGAGTCACGCATTAAGAGCGCCAAAATTTACCTATACCGCTAAGCGTGTGACTTGAGAATTGTTCCCAGCAGCATAAATTTAGCAGACACTTTTTCACAAAAACACAACTTTATTTCCACGCATGCCATTCATGCACTGCCACTAGAGTACGCATGGCTTTACTCTCCGCCCTTTCTTTTCGTCTTCCTTTTGGTTCATCCCTTTCAAAAAAAAGTGGACACGAGTGAGGCAATAAAATCGCACCACACTTTTCGTCAAAAAAGCAGCATGCTTTGCGCAACCAATTTGTTGCGTCTCGCCTATCCCCTTCATCATCTCAACGGCCGATTTGGCATGAAGACGTGATGTGCTCAAGAAGCGAGTGATTTTGTTCTCAAGGGATAATATCAGGTTATAGAAGGAATTCGACGGATACAAAAGTCCTCCGAGATCCCACAGCTTGCTTGCCTGGGCTGGGAGATTTCCTGGCACATTTTCTTTAGAAGCAAGGCAGGCGTTCTTGCAATCATCACAATTACTACGAAGTACACGCTTTCTTGCGACATAACCTGCGACATAATACACAAGGCGGGCGTCACTTCGCTCAACAGTGTATGACGCATGATCTACAGACACTTCTAGCACGTCAGATGAAAGTCTTTCGTTGTCTTCGTTGTGATCTTCCACCTCGTGCAGCATTTCTTCCAGAGAGAGAAGAGATTCCACCACTCCGTCAGCTACATTGCCACCCTTCGGACTCTTTGCCAGGCTATAGAAGCTGAGGCATCTATAAATAAACAATGCATATTTTACTCACAACAGCAGTCAAACATAATCAGATGCGTAACAAGTTTATACGACATGCAACATAAGGCGTAAAATTTGATAATAAAATACCTCGTGATAACAACAAACTGTGCAGGGGTTGGGTGATCATTGCCACCACCTGCCTGCCGCACGATTCCGAAACAGCGCTCAAGGCAGTCTTGGCTTAGGCGAGCCGTCATGAGATACTTGAAATGTACTTCCTCACACAGGTACTCCAGGAGGTGCTTCGTACTTTTCAACGTCACACGCAAACCCACTGCGGTACTTTTGCTTAGAAAGCCAAGTCCTCTTGCGTGAGCTTCCCACAAATCGAGGAACTTTAGTGCCTGGTCAAGCACAGCTTCCTTTCGGCTGTGAAGCCTGAAATAATGTTTATGTATGAAGCGTAGAAACTTTGTCTGGACTAATTATCGACAGGGTAAATATTTCACTCTTACCGTAAAGCTTCTGCTGGAAACCTGGATGTCATCACCTCGATTAGTTCCGCCATGAGACCAATAACGAGTCTTGTTGGCTCAACATTTGTGTATTGCTCCTCGATCTGATCTTTGTAAAAATCTAAGCACCGAGTCACTTGGGCACTGAAAACATGAAATGTTAAGTCCACACGCATTTTCCTCGAATCCATTTGGAAAGATATGTGATCGAGTCAGCTTTGGTGCCACTTTCAAGGTGATGGCACTGCTGTCAAGTTTCCACATGGTTGACACATGATCCCAGTGGGCCTGTAAAATTTCCACATTGCATCAGGAACTGTTAAGGATTCAAATTAGCATTGAGAAGTACGCATTATGCATAAAAATTCCACAGAAATATTAGAGCCAACTTGCCCTTCCGTTGTGGGTGTTGAAGCCCTGCTTCATCATTGTGTTTCTCACGCACTTCATGAGGTGAGGGAAGTCCGATATAAAGTACAAAAATCGGTGTTTGTTGCACGGATGAACAACTCTGCACTGAATGTCATTGAGGGTGGCGCGTATCCCCAGGATGTTCCACATAGATCTGTTCCAGGGCGCACCATCACAGCAATGTAATCCACGTAGAGGCCGGCTTGCTCACACAAAATTGTAGCTTCTACCAAAGTTTTGTCAACAGCCTGGCTTTTACGTTCCCGCTGGATGAAAACACACCTGAAGAGAAATAGAGCATTACAAAACGCTTCGGCATATGTGCCTTAACAGTGCAAAAAATATATTACCAATGATTTGTGTCCATTTCCCCACAAATGGTTGGAACATTATGACAAGCCCATGGTCAGCTTTGCGGTGTCTTTCATTGGCATCGGTAAACTTGCCGAGGTCGACAAAGCCTTCATATTGCTGGACGACTGCAAGTCCAGATGAGCAGAGAGTTTCATTTCATCCACTACTATGCCCCCATGCCTCTCCATTTCATCCATGTCTTTAACTTTTTTCTTCAGACAGCTCAGGAGTTTGGTATTAAACCCATAAGCAGCAGCGAATCCCTGTAGATAAAAACATTAGGAACCATCTCTATACTGCACACCATATGCAATCACATACCTTGATGTATTTTGAAGGCAAGCACGGCTTGGCAGGACAAGAATTCTGTGTGCTCTAAGATGCTCATACAGTCGTGCACTTTTCATTCTGAGGATGATGCACTCAAGGAGCCATTCTTTATTGTAGTTATATCCGCGCAAGGACCTTCGTTTGGCAGCGTCAAACAAGCCTGCACCGCAGCCCGTTGCTTTTTTGGAAGAAGTTTCAGCTGAAATAATTAAGAAGCTATTAGTAATGAATCTATAACAACTTAATGGGACAGTGTACCTTTTCCTCTAACACAGATGCAATGATTTGTGAAGTCTTTTCTCGCATCTTCTTCAGGGCATCCTGCAAGGTAAGCAGCTTCATTTTCTTTTTCTTCAACGTACGAACAGCCCATTTCAGTCGTTGTGCAGCTGTTCTTGCAAGTGGCCGCTTAGTCTTTTTTTTTTTTAGACGGAGCAGACGAGCCTTCAGAAGGTTTCTGCATTTTCTGCAGGCAGTACAACGTCCAGATGAGCCATCTGTAAAGTGTACCATAATCGGTGGATAAGTCTAACCAAAGCAGGGACAGGTATCTACAGGCTCAAATAAAATATTTTAGGCAGGGTTTGCGCAACTGCGATATCTCATAATACCTTGTAGCGAAATCGATGAGGAACCATCGCAAGAAAGGGAGAAGACACGATTTTGAGATAGCTTCGCCTTGCTTTCCAAATTCAGTGGTTGGAACTCTTCCATTGTCCCAATTCCTACGCAGGGTGTCAATGTGTCTGCATACTTGAGAAGATCCTGTGCTTGGCTCACTGTCTGACAGCCACTTTTTTTGAATAGGAACCCGTTCAGAAAGATGCTGCACTGAGCAGCTGCTCCTTCCTCAGCTTCAAACAACACTATCTTGTTGTGAATAACAGGAGGTGTTAAATCTCTGTCCAATTTAGCGGTCTGGTAGCATAATGCATTCGTTTGCTCGAACTTCTGCATCGACCACAACTCGCTAGGACGGTGAAGCATAGCACTTAAGGAATGCAGCTGTTCGGTCAACATGACGTTCTGTTCTGAAACGATCACGTCATGGTCAATCGCTGAGCCTTCTTCGACATTGTCGTGGTTCACACTAATTCTTTTACTCGAAACAGCACTTTCAGCCACGCTTTTCCGTCTCTTTCTCTCCTTGGGCAGAGCTTTCGTCAAGTATTTAGGCAAATTAGGAAAAATCGTCGGCACGGCGTCATTTGTTAAGGTCGGCACAGCGCGCGGCATGTATACATCTTCACCATTAATCCTATGTTTGAACGTACGCACGACAAATCTGTGAAAAAGAAAAGAGAAAAGGACAGCCAATTGGTTATGTTGCAATGCAGCATGTGACACGTGGAACGCAAGTAAGCAAAATTGGTCTCTTGCTCGGGTGTGCGAACACCGTGCCTTCTATTTTTTGTACATACCTTGGGTCGAAGTGCTTCTCGCACACTGCGGAGTTCTCGTCAAGCTGTTTGTCCGCTCTTGGAATAGCACGAATCCATTTGTCGAACAGCACACTACACGTGGGAGCTCGGAAAAGGGAAACTTTCTCTCCTGAAGAATTATAATATCCAGTGTTGCAGCCAGGCACAAAGCACCAACGTTGCGTCTTCTTTTTTGTCGTTGACATCTTCGGACATTTCAGAGAGACTCAACGCAATCACCGATCGACGACATACTTGTAAGACAGTGCGACTGCTAACGAAAAAAATTATGGCGCGACTGAAGCAAACCCAGCGAAGTGCGCCGCTCACTACCCGCGCCGCTGCCATCAGCGCCCCTAGCGGCATCGGCGCGCCGAAGGACCCTCTCCGCCAAGCGAAAGGCGCCCCGCTCATCACACCTCCCCATTCTAGCCACCCTAACACCGTGCATGTGCTTCCCATCGTGGCCTTGTCGTGAAGTCGCAGATTTCGATAGACCAGTGCTAGCATAAGTGCCGGTTATCAAAGTAACTATTAAAAAAATGTATTACTACGTCGTCGAGGGTCAATTCGACGACGCGGAAAGCGACAGTGGTGTATCAGGCAGCGCCGAACAGAAACCGAACGTAGCTGTGTCGTCTGGTGAACGTCGCAGTCCAGAGCATCTTTTGAGCGGCGACGACTCATCCGGTGAAGATGAACTCAGTGACGACGACTACGACTGGGACGAGTTCTCTCGAAGGAGCGTCTGCAACAACTCGCACGGCAGTCACCCGAATGCGCAGCACAAGGGCAACCCGAATTTATTCCAGTCCCAGTGTAAAGTTCTCTCCGGCAAGTACAGCGGGAAGATCAATCTCCAGGCGTATTCTGGTCCAGCCGTGGCTGCCGGCGCGTTAAGTGTATTGAACGAGGCGAGCCGCAGACAGGAAGCTGACCGCGTCCGCGTCCGAGACAAGGTGGAGAGGGCCACAGCAGAGCAGGTACTCGATCGCCGGACGCGCATCATCCTCTTTAAGCTCCTCAACCGCGGCCTAGTAGAGCAGATAAATGGCTGCGTAAGCACGGGTAAAGAAGCTAACGTTTATCATGCAACCGCTAGCGGGGATGGTGCTCCAGATCGTGCCATAAAGATCTACAAGACGTCCATCTTGGTGTTTAAAGATCGCGACCGCTATGTCACCGGCGAGTTCCGCTTCAGGAGTGGCTACTGCAGCAGCAACCCACGCAAGATGGTCCGCACTTGGGCAGAAAAGGAGATGCGAAACCTCTCGCGCATATACGCTGCCGGCCTGCCTTGTCCAAAACCCATTGTTCTCAGAAGTCACGTGCTTGTCATGGACTTTGTCGGCAAAGACGGCTGGCCTGCACCCAAGCTGAAGGATGTTCCACTGAGCGAATCCAAAGTGCGTGAGCTTTACAGAGACTGCATCATCATGATGCGACGGCTCTACCAAGAATGTCGCCTCGTGCACGCCGATCTGAGCGAGTACAACTTGCTCTACCACGAGGGGAAGATTGTGATAATTGATGTGTCACAATCAGTTGAGCACGACCATCCGAATGCGCTTGAGTTTTTGCGCAAAGACTGCACTAACATCACGGACTTTTTCAGCAAGCATGACGTGAAGACGATGGGTGTTCGGCAGCTGTTTGATTTTGTCACAGACCCGACCATTAACGAAGACAACATGGACGCTTACCTGGAAAAAGCGCAATCTCTTGTTGAAGCTAGCAGTTCAGGAACGATGAACCAAGTAGAAGAAGAAGTTTTCAAGAAAGCATATATACCGCACAGACTGGACGATGTACTTGACTTTGAGAAAGACATTGTAGGTGTCCAGGAAAAAAACAAGAAAATTTTATATCACACCATTACAGGCATGAAGCCCGACTTGTCAGGTCCAGCAGATAAGCCTGCAATACTTGAAGATGGCTCGGATGACTTGTCCTCGGAGGCCAGTGAAGGTGGCAGTGAATGTGAAGATGAGAGCGAGAATGGCGATGACAAGGGGTCTAAGTTTGTGAACACAGCCAGGCCTAAGGGGGAGTCACTGGAAGAAAAGAAGGAAAGAAAGAAGGCCATCAAGGATGCTAAGAAAGAGAAACGCCAGATGAAAATACCGAAGCATGTCAAGAAGCGAAAAGAGAAGCTGGGAAAGGCACGCAAGAAGTGAAAGCTTGTTTCAAGGCTTCACATTGTGTGTGTGTGATGAAGGAACTTCAATCTAAAGACTGCCACTGCAGAACTGGAAGGAAAAGTGTTATTGTGAACACTTCAACCGACAACACCTGCCACGATGGCTCAATAGTGATGGCATTCTGCTTCAGAGCATGAGACATTTGATTTCTGGTTCTTGCTACTCGATTCTGGTTGAGGTTGATTGTAAAAGTGGTCTTGCAGCAAGCATCGCACAACCATTTTCAGGTGGCCGAAATCGATTTTAATCCATGTGTCATGATGTGTATGTTGCATTTGAATGTGAAGCACGAAGCTGTAAAAAGTCTCTGTGACAGCTTCATGCTGCTTTTAGTTTGCTAGCAATTTTTTTTTTACCTTGTGCCCGTAAAGAACTTTTTCTTTAGCAGTAATATCAGTTTTCATTAACTGAATTAGAACAATTTTAAGAGCTCTCTTCTGCACCATGTGTGCCTAAATGAAGAAAGTAGGGTGCTGATAGCTGTCATGTGAAGATTAGAACAAAGGCTGTTAAAACATAAGAAGTACGGCCAAACTAATGCTCAAAAAGTACTTTTGAACGCACAGACAGCATTTTTAGCGCAAAAGTGAAAAAAAAAAAGAATACTGAGAAAAAAACGAAAAGAACATCATGCACAGGGTGAGCACCTAAACATGAATTGACTTTATTTCGGAAACATACCACAGGAAGTAGATCACCTGCGTATGCGTGCCACCGCTGCGTCACTAATTGAGCATCGAATCAAACAATCTATACTCGCTATGGAACACACATACCAAAGTAAAAAACATACCTTTGCTCTTGATATGATAGGCTTCCAGTAAATATTTCCCCATGTACCATTGCCTAATCTTAATCTTGTGCAGCCGTACTACTCGTGTGCAGGCTTTGCAATGGACTCAAAGCTGGGTGGGCCCTATGCATGCTTGTGCAAAGAAAAAGAAAAGCATAAATGCCAAAATAAACCTGCCACGCCATACATTAAGTGTGCAGTTGGCATTCTATACGCCATACCCAGGGTGCAACAGCTGCGTCAATTGCGCCTATTTGATACAATTCCCGACTGTTGTGCCGAGCTGTGCCTAAACCGTCAAATTTGCTGAAATTGCGCCACGATGCACCAAATTGCGCAGCCAGCCTCAAAATTTCTTCAGGTGTGCTAATTTCGCTGAGAAATGCAGGCCACGTCGGCCATGAGCAACTTGCGCCATCTGTCAAAGCATGTAGACCCGAACTATAGTGCCTAGAAAATACTTAAAATATTTTAGACACTCGCCCTTTAGTTCTTGAACCGCTATCGACTAGATAAAGTAACAACGCTGCATACCTATCGGTCCGCTGACCGCAGCGAATACTTATTGGTGGGACGACGGAACTTCAAGACAAAAATGTGTTGCTGTAGCTACCAACGCATTATAGGAAATATAAATTTTCTAGCCTGAAAAGGCGGCTATGGCTTGTTAAGAACTAAATCTGGAAGTGTATGCCATGTTTTCCTCGCGCGAACAAGCTTGACGTGCTGCGAATGATGGCGTTGCCAGTGACCACGTTGACTGCCTTAGCAGTGGCACATAAAACAATAATTTTTGTCTTGAAGTTGCGTAGTCCCTGCCATGGTCCTTGGCGATAGATATTCGGTACCGTCGCAGGGCCGACGGACGCGCGCCGTCTTTACCTGGTCGAACGCGCCTTGGATGGGAGCCGAAGCGGCACCTAGCTTGACGGTAAAAAAAAAGGGGGGGGGGGGGGGGGGGAGTGGAGTGGTGGTGTAGCGGTTAGAAAGTTTCGTAGCTTTGGTTCTAATCAAGGAGGTTAAAGTAATATTTATTTAAACCTCCTTGATTTCGATGCTGCTTGAGCCACCTTCGCTGCGGTGCATCGGTACTGTGCGCAAAAGCGAATCGTGATTTGGAAGGAGTTGTTAGCACTAGTGGGACACTGCACATTTTGCTCATTTACTCATGCGTTTGTATGCCACACAATTTTGAGTACCAGTATTATTGTTGACGTCTAAATAAGCTACTGGCAATAATTTGAAGCAGTGTATGACATTTCTACTTCAAAAAAAAAAAAAAAAAAACTAAATTGTGCCCCAGTTATTTTTTCCCACCCCTACTCCTCGGTTTTACGAATCTCCTGAATTTTAAGGTAGCGAGCTTGGCAGATTGATATTTAAATTTGTAGAGTCTGTCAAATGATTTGACAGATATAGCAAATGCTAATATAGACTTTATCATTGTTTGCTCAGTGGGGCAGTTCAAAGTACTACTTTCATTGAAATAGCAGTGTTTGTGTTCACACTGCACGATTTAGGTGATGCTGAATGGTTGAAACACATTTTTTTTCTAAATGTGAGCCTCCTTTTCTCTACTGCTCCAAAGTTGGTATTTCATGATGAAAAATGCATGATTTTTTCTCCTGTAACCTACTACAAATTTGGAATTTAGTGCTCCAAAAGGAACATTTTGCTGCTTCAAAAATTGCTCCAAATTGTATTTCTGCTGTTGCATCTCTGCATACCACTGTCGTGTGGAAAGGCATACATAGGTCAAACGATAGATGTGTTGATGGCCCTAGCGGCAACGTGAGTTGTCCTTAAAAAATAAAAGTAATGTGAATTTTCCGGTCTATTGCATGGCTTGTACATGGGCACCACGGCTTCACGAGATTAAGATTCTAGGTAGAAGCGCTCGTGCCTTGGGGAAAGAGTTACTGGAAGCCTATCATATCAAGAGCAAAAGTACAGAATATATTAGTAACACCTCACTTTGTTTGTTCATAGAGAGTATAGATAGTTTGATTGGATACTTGATTAGCGACGTAGCAGCGACATGCTTGAATGGGGGTCTAGTTTTCATGGCATTTTTCTAAGATAATGTCGAGCGATGTTTCACGCTGGCCCTGTGGACTATGTTCTTCTCTGCAGTATTCTTTTCTTTTCCATTTTTCTGTTAAAAATGCTGTCTGTGATACAACACCAACTCTCCCAACAGGAAGCTCTATTGTAGTTATAAACTACCTGTGTCTTTATAAACTACCTGTGTCTTATCATCACAAAATTGAATTGATAATGCTTAATGTGTTTTGATAAGAGTAACGGCAGCCACCTGTTTGTAGCATGAAGCCACAAGGAAATCTATATGAAATTTCGTGTGGATTTTCTTGTGACTTCGGCTACAAACGGGTACATGTCATTCATCCCCCTAAGTTCTTCGGCCACCTTCTGTGAAACTGCCGAACTCACTTACAATGCTGTACTGTAACATACAATTCATGCTGACATGATTGTGATGAATTGTGGAGTAATTTCAATAACTCCAGTGAAAATCGCAACAAAACTCGCACCCTGCCGAAATGGAGCGTAATAAGATAATCATCAGCCCGATTATGCCCACTGCATGTCAAATGCTTCTCACATGTTTCTATATTTAAGCCAGTTCTGTGCTTGCTGCGGCCATGTTATTTTTGCAAATTTTATCTCGTCTGCCCACCCTGCTTTTTACATCTCCATGAACAAAGAGGGGTGGAGTGCATTTGGTGGGCATTCTCAGATTATGAATGGTACTTTACCACTATCCCTCAGGAGAAAAGTATAAATCAGCTGCATCCTACGTGTACTTACTATGGAGAATAAACCTGGAGGCTTACCAAAAGGGTCCAATTTAAATTGAGGACAATGTAGCGAGCACTGGAAAAAAAAAATTATAGGGGTAGCTTTAAAGGGGTGCAGACACATAAACTTTGGCCTCTCGTTTATCTGCAGCAGTGTGTTGCTGGGGGCCTGTTAGTCATAACACGACACATCGTTTACTGTAGCACACGACAAATAACTAACTACAGGCTCCTCATTATCGACTATTTTTGGTTTGAGAGAGCTCCAAAAACGAGGAGCCACCGGGTGCAAATATCGCCACCTATATAGTGTGTGCAGCTCTCGACCATGTCAGCACACAAAACTGTGACACACGTCCGCATGGTCCGCATAAAGAATTACTTTCAAATAAGAAACGAGACTGCAGTGTTGCCAAACGCAAAACATTCAAAGCATGCGCCACGGTCACATACTTGCGGACAGCCGCGGGAAGTATAGGCTGCGGGAACAAACGTTGCAAAAGAAAAAAAGGCAGCTTTGATATCATCATAACTTGTTTTAGTGGCTGCAGCATGGTGACGCGAGAAAGCAGGGGGTCCCCAAAGGGTCCCCTTCGAGGGTGTCAGTGGCACGATGAAATCGACCGCTCACACAAATATTAAAATTATTTTAAAATACCTCCCAAGCTATATTCCTTGTTAATATTTTGCAGCTGATATACGAATGTTGACAGGAATCGACCCCGCAGGATATCTCGACCGGGAAATTTTGTCTCAGTACCCCTTTAGGAACCACAAGAAAGCAGAGTGGGTTAGGTAACAAATGGGTGTCAATCACATCTTAATTAAAATCAAGAAGAAATGGACACCGGCTGGGCACATAAAATGAAAGATAACTGCTGGTCATTAAAGTGGCTGATAATACTTTTCAAGCCCTATGTTTCACTTGCATGTAATTCAGAATAATAGTTTTAAGATTCCTTTAATGTCAATAGGAGCATCAATATCAGAATATTTATTGTTTTTTAATGCAAAAAAAAATTTGAGCATTCCTGCCAATTGCATTAGCACATGGTGGAACTCGCCAGAAGCATTTTTGACAGAAGTAATGTCGACAAGTGTGCATCTATAATTGGTAAAAGAAAAGTGCAAATAACCACTTTAATGCCACAAACTCGCGCTTGAGATTGGTTTTGTTCTTGTTTGCTACACTTTTTTATATTAAATGCAAGCATAGACGTGTGTCGAAAAAAAAAAAGAAAGGAAGCTCTGCATCTACAAAGCACAGTACTGAGCTGTCTGCTTTTAGCCTGTAGCCCCTGAAAGCGAAGAATGGGGCACACGAGGTCTGTCTTTCTCTGAAGACTTTTCTTATTCGTGTGTTCTCTTAGATAGCTTCATATCGTACATGCTGTACACTTGCGAGTGTCATTTGGGAGGTCTCACCTTTCGCCTTGCGGTGTGGGGTCAGTCATGAAGAGGCAGTCAGTGCTTTGAGTGTAACAGGCAACAATGTGGTGCCAATTTTGCTCTATACACAGGCACATCAAGCTGTGCAATTGGATGCACCGTGTTATGTACTGGGTGAGAGTTGTGAAGACACGTTACGCTGCAAACTTTCAGCTAAGGGTGCTCGTTTTTTTTTCTCTTGTATATTGAATTTGCAACACTCTGTAATGTGACTTACTGCTGCTATCATTGATGCATTTAACTGTCAATTGTTCAGTCAAACCAATCCTCAAATAAAAAATATGGTTTGAAACGTGTTAGAGGGCCCCTTGAAAAGTATTTCGACAGAAGGCGAGTGCACCGAGGAAGGCAGAACATCATTTGGGCGGATGAGCAATGAAGTTGCTTGTGCACAAACGTCAATAGTATCATGAGTGCGTCCCCTCGTGCGGAATGAAATTAAACAACTTGGAAGTTGCCCGAGTGCAATATCAGCCAAGCTGTAACACACTAGCTATATTCTGCTGGCAAATGTCTGTCTGCTATATGCAGTAGAACCTTAGAACTAATTGATTCAAACACGGTTATTTTGAAATACCGCCTAATTCTAAATATTTCCACGGTCCCATATTCTGCAATGTAAGTCTGAGCGGATGATTTGAAGCGGCGGTCAGCACTAGTCCGGTTAATTCAAAACCTTTAGGTGCTTATTGCCAATTCCCGATCCCGATGTTGCCACGAATTTGTGAAAACGACGGTCTTTAAGAGCCATCAGGCAATGCAACATAGTGATACTAATGAATGGCAACGGCAACTGAAGCACCTCAGCCTCGCCACTTCCAGCGCAAAGAAAGAAAAAAAAAAAAAAAACTAGTCTCGTGGTCAACCAATATGACCTGTGAAAAACAAGATATGCTTCACTGCAATACAGCAATGACGCGTGGGCAGTTTGTCACATGCTTCTCGCTACGTCAGCGTGTCAAGATTTAACCATTCATTCTGGAATTCTAAAGAAATTGAATAAAGGACAGTCAGGCGGAATTTGCGATGTATGCGAAC